TGATGCCAAGTCTAGGAGTTAAGAAACAAAAAAAAACAAAACAAAGCATTAAATTAATTTCCTTTGACAATGAATTTTCATTATTAGATATCACAATGCCTCCCTGATTAAGGAATGAGTAGGCTAGGCGAATATTGCTTTACAGGAGGACATGGCAATCTTTTCCACTATTTCGTTTTACTTTTAAGTTGTGAATGTTACCGCTGAGAATGCTTGTCTTCCGCTGTTGGCTGCAACAAATTGGTCATCTTCTCTATGACTCGTACGAGTATCATGATGTTGAGCTGAAGAATACAATAGAAATAAATTAATTATTTAGATATGGTTGTTGAATAGCCAAAGCAGGAGAGGATCCTCGCCAAAGACGTTACTAGTTTGGCAACAAGGGTGGGATGAGGAGTCATTTACAGGGAAAACAACTCTTAACCAGGAGATTATGAGGTTCGATACACTGACAATGAACCAAAGAAATCGCGAACAAAATTGTCTAAACTGACTGAACCACGCCAAGTGAAGTCTCATTTTAAATTTTATAAACTCAACATCTCCTACTTTTCCTGCTCCATTCATCTTTTTCAAGGGTTTTTTTTTATGAATTATTTTTGGGCGAAAAACATATCTTGGCATATCAATGTGAAACAGTGAGAAAACATTAACAAGGAGAGGGAAGAATTTCTTTTTTTCATACCATGTAGTAAAAGTTGGAGAATTTATGAAGCTATCTTACGCCTGTGAAGACATTGTCTCGAGAGGTTTTTCTCGCAATTGAAGGCGATCATTATCTTAAAATTGACTAGCAACCCTGCAAACAGCAACAACGTCCACTTTTTTTTGCGAGTAAGTAGGAAAAGGGAAGTGGTAAATATTGTGGGGGGGTCATATCATAAATAGTTAATTTGTTTTTTTAAAGAGCAGAGAAAAAAGTCTGAGGCAGCATTAAGTCCAGGTATACCAATCACATTCAGCAACACTAATCATAAACTCACAACTTATATGAAAGCCACAAAGGTGACGAATATCCAGATCAGGTTGTTAGTCGAGGAAAGCCAGTATTTTGTGGTAGATTAAGTGTGTTGTGCGAATAAATGTAACCAAAAATAAATTATAATTTGCTTATTATGCTCATTTAACACACATCAGCAAGTTTTTGATTTTCATAGTTTCATGCTTCATCGTTGGCTCCCATCTCAATAATCAAACGCAATTCATGCACTCTATTGTTCTCCTTTGCCGTTTAATCACAGTGTTGTGATTATTGTGTTTACAGGTTAAAATGGCAAGCCCCAGAAGTCACGTTGATCGGCCCCTCGTGAAGAGTCCGGCCTTGCAGAATGGTTCTCTAGGCATACAGGCTATTGATGCAAATTGGCCAACTTGAGCTTTCTTCAGCCTAATTTATCCAATGTGAACTGTGAACTCTTAGATTTAATTCGAGGTTCTATAATATTAGTTTTCCAATGGATCGCATGAAAAGGAAAACAATCCAAATGACAAAGGGTGTAAAGAAAAGACATCAAACCGTGAAACGTGATCGTAACTATACAAAAGTGTACATGTCTACGGGGAAGAAAACAACAATTGGAAACTTTATTTTGGGGGTTCGAAACATGAACTGAACTCAGTTACTCTTAATTTTAATGTACTAACAAATGCATTTATTGCTACGTAAAATCTGTTTGTACAACTGAATAAAAACTCTGTACAATTGCTGAACTAGCAAGTTGTTTAATGGATTCTTCATATATCAATATTTTTAAAACGTAAATGAAGTAATTGTTATACAATGAAAAAAATGCCACATTTGATCACGGTAAAAATCACTCTGTACGATCAGAATGTTGCTTTAGGTTCTACAGCACCATGATCTCAGCAATGCATGGAATAATCAGCGCTTGCAGTAATATAACTTTCCCCCAAATTTACAAGGCAATCGATAATTAGGGGTATCGAATGGTCTTTGTGAGCATGCGAGCAGTTTGTTTATTTTTGCGAGCACGGTATTGGTGCCACGGATACCTGTTAGTACAAAATGCAGACAGCAGACCGGATACAAAATATAGACTGCAGACTGCAGAGTGGTACAAAATGCAGACTGGGAATTTGAAGAGTTTTTACGCCTGGTATATAATAACATGTCATCTTACAGCTTACCGAGCGTCACGCAATCGCTTCTCCGCGATCAGCCTTCACGATTATTTGCACTATTGTGGAAACTTCCTGGCCCATTTTTTGATGAAAATCGATCGAAATACAATTTCAAGCCTTCAATGTAGTCTTCTTACTTTGTGCACGAGTTGGTTGATGTGATGTCTGTACAGATTTTACCAACGTAATAAAAGTAGATGACGTGAATACCAGTGATGGTAAAGCTAGCTTAAAACGGCAGAAATCGCCTGAAACTACAAGGGATACACAGGGTATGAGTAAGTTTTATTGATTTTACGAGAAAAATGTTCATATTTCGAAATATTTATCGTTGTAAATCGACCATATTACGTTGCCTATACTATTCCTTATAACGTGTTCAAATTTTCAATGGTTCCTCTCGTACCTTAAAACCGAGTCACACTACGCGTGATGATTTCATGAATTAATCGTTGGCTTCTTCTCGAGGCGTGAGCTTGGGCCGCCTGTGACAAGACAATTGTGTAAACAATACTTAACATAATAACATTATACACAAAAACACAGGATTTTGGATCATGTATTTATTAAAAAATAATATCAATACAACTACAATGAAAACAAACGTTAGATTCACCTTTCTGATCGTGAAATTAATACCATTCGCACTGTTATCGTAGCTACGTTCCCTGGCATCAAGTGAATCCAACATGGCGCCTTTCTTCACAAGCAGTTTGCACCATTAGAGTTTGTTCTTCAGTCTCACGGTAGCAGTGTTGTTCAATAGATTGCATAGAGTATATGCAGTTTGGTTTCAGAGTTCAGATTTTGCATTTTTTATAACAAGTGTACGTTTTTTAACTAATACATTGGCATGCTTGACATACAAGGCATACAATGCATTCAAGGCTTTCATGGCTTTCAAGCGTTCGCGACTCAATCCGGTCCAAAATTACCGCTCAGTAACATCTTTTAGCGTCGATTGGCCGCGAACAATGCGACTTGTGTATGCGTCTGTAAGTATTTTGAGCGTTTGCGCCATAATGCTCTGGGTGATCGTAATCCAAACACGTTGAAATACAAAACGACGGCACCTTTTGTTGCTTCACACAGAAAAAACACACGATACGAAATGTAAAGATCGAGTTTGTCCCCAATCTCACACCATTACAGAAAAAGCTTTTACACCTGTAAACTCCGAGCGCTTCGGAGTAAGTGATATTTATAATGAATCTTCGGATCGTTTTCAAGTTCAAGGACTGTAAATTACAATTTTATGAAAAACGAAGGTTGTTTTCTTATTTCAGTGTGAATCATCGCACGCCTGCCAGTCGCTGACGCCGCTTGTTGAAACTAAAACGAAAAAAATAAACTCTTTTAAGATTATCATCGGCTTCTTTTTCACCCCACCACTCTTCTTAGCAACAAAGGTCACCATTTCGTTTGTTTATTACTCGCCAAAAACTATCAAGTGTACTCAAAAGCCTAAAATCGAAAAAAAGTTTACAGGAATCGACCAATCGAGCGAGCGAGCGAGTTCTATTCTCCACATCTTATCTAGAACTCGCTCTTGCGCATGCGCGCAATTCACGACTTAAAAAGGCGAGTTCCTTGATGTCATTACCCTCTGAAGTGTACGTCGCTATTTTTGCAAGTTTCCGTCCAGATTCCCACGGGACACCTGTCAGTATCTCTCGGGATGCCGGTGAGGAGATTTGTACCCGGGAGCCAGTGAGAATTCGACCGGGATCCCCGCGCGGATAAAAACGAGCAAACAAAATTGAATGAGATCCGGTTTCGCCGGTAGTCCCACCAATCCAATAATTCACTCCCACCTCACTTTCCACTTCCGCTAATTTTTTTCGGAGAAAGATCAGAGGTCTTCACGATGTTGGAGTTCGCTAGTCGTATATGAATATATTCGCACGTGTGAAAGAAATCGGCCTTCGCTAAAGCACTCGCGTGGCTAATGCTCACAGCTGCCTGTCAATTACGTATTTTTTATTGTCACTGGTTCTTTGCTCCCCAGTTCCAAACCCACACCTTCCTTCCCAAGTCTTTCCCCCAATCACGGACCTCATAAATTCACAACATTATTTGGTATCGTGCGCCAATTTTTACTTTTCTTACTTTCATAATAATTAAAGGAAAACAACAAAAACAACAACAACAACGACAAAACAAACAAAAAAAACCAAACAAACAAAAAAAAATTTAAAAAAAAAACTTTCGCTTAAAACGCCTAAGCAAATTGTAATATTTATTTATTGTTTTTCTCTTTTTTTTCCTTCCTAAATACTTGGCTTTTAGCCTAACGTAAATTGCTTGCTCTTTTTGTATATATTACTTTTCAATACTCGATATATTATCTTTAAAAAAAACTCATCAAATTCAAATGTACCAAAGAAAATTAATCAATATTTAGAATCCATTATCGTTTAAAGAGAAGTAGATTTCCCAAAACTTCATCTTAAATTGCAAGTGTTACCATCTGCCTCTCCATGTTTTCCAGATAATGTAATTCCCATTTCCGAAGCCAGCAGTAAAAATCCACAATTTTAAATTGTTTTTCAATAAGTACTTAGTGTGCTTCTTTACTCACTTCTCTACCACAATCTACGTGTTTAATAAAGTTTAGCCCAGAATTTAGAGTAGCTTTCATTAGAGGAGTAACATGTTGACTCAAAAAATTTAAAATACAAAAAAAAAAAAAAACAACTACAACAACAATAACAACAACGCCAAGATACAGACTGTATTATACTGTGGTAAAAAACGAGGGAAACTTTTAACCCCAAGCTACAGCAGATCTCCGGAAAAGTGAACCATAAAGAAAGAACGGTGGTCTTCCTTCTGTCTGAGTTTGTCTCAAAGTTTTACACTGGAACGTCAAAGTTGACGCTTCCAAGAGTCACAACAGATGCCGTGAAATGGCGGCCTTGGCGGCGGTACTTGATAAAAGATGGGTTGCGTAGGAGAGTCACGGCCAGGAACCAGCGGTTGACAGCCTTTTGAGACATGCGCGGCCGACGGGGCTCCCGCATAAAGCCTGAAAGACAAAGAGAGAGGAATGGCAATATAAGCTGCGTTTGAGAGGTTTGGACCAGATCTGGAGGGACTTCGTCGAGTATTTCAAGTTGATTACCCTTCAAGAAATTAGTTCATGACAACAAAGGAATCATAGCAATAGAGAAAATAGGCCAAAAGAGAGAAATTTCTTTCGTACTTTGAGTAAGAAAGGAGACAAAATGTCTTTACTTCCTTTACTATTGTTTTGGAATGGCAACGAAATGTCATTTAAAACAAATATTACAAAGCTTCAGAGCGTCCTGCCTCAATGCCAAACCTACAATATACAGGCTTTGTAGGAGATCCGGCGACAAAATAGATGCCTTAAAACACGGTACTTGAAAACTTATTTTAACGTTAAGAACGGAGTACTTAAGCACTTCAGACTCAAGTTGAAAAAAAGATTACACACGTAGGGATGTTTCTTTTTCTCCTCATGAAAAGCCTTAAAACTGTTCTATATCACCCAGAATACAATCGTTTTTTTAAAGGTCGGCTTGAAAAGTAACAGTCAGCGAGATACGTTTTAGTTCCTCAAAAAACTGTGCAAAGTGGCAAAGAAGAAAGGCTAACTTTCAATATTCCCGCGTGACCACAGAATGGATATGAAATGAATAGTAACCAACAGAACATAGCTCGCATCGTAAGTTTCTTCTCAATAGTACCCATATCTTATCAAATTATCTTATCTTCTTATCTGACTCGGGGAATGGGGTACATTTTCTGCCAAATTTTCCACGATTTCACATTAATAACGACGCTTAACAAAAGAATATTATGTGTTTCTTGTCCTCTGTGAAAAGATCATTTCTAATGTTCTGATTGGTTGCTGAGTGTCCGTTGCCAGTGCATAAACAGCGCTGTGTTTTGATCTTATAAAGGAAACAAACATGCCAATTGTCTCTAAGCCACAGTTGCCCATTCGTTTGTCCGTCCATTTGTGCGCACGCTCATCTGTCCGTTTATCAATCGAGCCAATCAGAATCATCCCAGCCGAGTCATGATTCTAGAGACGATTTACTTACGGTCTTGCGGGGGCTGGTGATCTTTTTTTCTGTCAATAAGCAACTGACAGAACACCAGCATCACGGGATGGCTGTGGGCAACCAGCACAGTCACAAAACCAAGGTATGCGACAAAAGCTGAAAAGAAAATGAACAAAATTTGAAGTTAGAGTCAAAGGTTGTCCAGGATCCCATAGGTTATGCTTTCGTTAGCACAATGACAACTCAATAAATCTCGTGCAACTCTCTCGAACAATCAGACGTAAAGCTATTACAAATCGCTACTAAACCACTACCGTTTGCTGCGTTCTAGGCAATTTCTTGGATCTTATCACTGAGGAATTTCTGTTCGACCTTCCTTTCGTCCCAGAAGTCTTACAAACATTATTCATTGGTTAAAAGTTGTTTTAGGAAATAGTGACAACATGGCAGCATCATAGGTCTGTATGTTGTATATCTCCCTTCACATAGCCTCTGCCACTTATAAATTGCTTATACTGGGTGCGTGCTCCTTACCTTTGTCCCAAGCCTGGAAACCCTGCATCAGTGATGAACGATCGATACGAGAGATGAAAATCACTCCTAAAAGCATGCCCTTTAGAATTCGCATAAAACCAGAGAAAAGTCCAAGAATTATGTTGTAGAAGAAGAAAAAGTATGACATGATGGAGAATAGCCGCCTGAAAGAGAGAGAAAGAGACCAAAAATAAAGTGTACACGATACGGGCTGAGTATTTTAAGCTTCGTGACCCATAAGTAAGATGTGAATCTAGGAGAGTTACTAATTAACCTGGATGCAACGCACAACAAACCAACCACCACAACTACAGCAACAACAACAACCATCACAGCAACGAAAACAACAACACCCACTACCACTACAACAACATCAACAACAACAATAAACACACATACAATGATAACAAAGATATATGGCAAAAATCTTCTCATCAGAGATGTTTCTGTCGATGAGTTGTTGTGTCGACGTTCAATTAATCTACCGCAGCTTTGTATTGAACGTTCTCTCGGCAAGGCGTGAGTTGACCACTAAACATACAGTAGCATACGACATATCCTATCAACACAATGATAAAATTTGCTACGCCATCGGTCATCAGCAGCCAAATAGGACCGAGCGGAGTCCAATTCGGTCAGTAGTCGTAACAAAATTTGAGAAAGAAACTAGAGATCGGTTGTGGTTGTACGTTTTCATTAAAAAGAGAAAAAGAAAAAAAAGCAACCGTTAACTCGGCAAAATGCGAGACAACAGCACACGACGCGTTCTGTCCACTTACCCTGGCATGACGTGTTAACTGTCTCTTTAACTATCCTCTTACACTGTCCAATTACACACATGACGCGTACACCGTCCTATTAGTTCTCAAATCGGGCTGGTGATAATTAATCACGTTCGCGAGTTTTGCTATAGTTTTGATTGGTGCACTAAAGGGACAGTGTACAGTTAACGTTATGCTTGTAACTGGCCATTTAACGTAGCATGCCTATGTGACTATACGCGTTATATACTTACTGTTATAATTTTGTCAATCACTTGATGAATTACGGACCGAATCGGACTGCACTCTGTCAGGCCTAGTACTAGTCATAGATGCCTGCACGTGTTTGTAATGAGTAGATCAGTTGTTCAGGGCGTGCGTATCACACAACAAGAGATTCAGCTCAGAATGATATACAACAATACCTATTATCAATTGTGACAGTGATGTTTGGATAATTCGAGTACCGGAAGACGAAATGTGTCAGAAACAACTGGAATAACATCAGAAAAATAGCCAAGGCCAAAGTGGGTCTGTAAAAACAACATTTCATGAGTACTAGATTGCGTCTTTCGAAAAGCCTTCAAGTCTCACTATAATTATGAAATTATGATTATAATTATAAAACCAGCTTAGCCACAAAATCCTGATCCTGCAAATATGTTACTGTATCTTGTTTTGATGCTTAAACAATCTTTAGAGTTGCATTCTTCATGTAGTAGAGTATTTTTCAATTGAGTGTCGAAGGTAATCGAAGATTGCTGTGATTTTGTTTAACTTCCCCGTGTGATTGGTCCAGAAAGCTCACGCCACCTTCTCAACCAATCAGATTCAAAAATTGAACAAATCGTGATTTGATCATTCGTATTTTCCCGCCTTTTACGCAGTACGCCCACAACGATCACAATAACCAGAAGACAACAATGTGATACAATCATATAACTCTCATTCTTAAGATTCAAATCGATACAACATATACATCGGTAAAACTTACAGAATAGCAATTCCAGTTTCTTTCAAATGTTTCCATAATTCTGGGGCGAGCAGTTCTTTCGATTTGAAAACGATTGCCAGAGCAGCAACCACAGTTGACAGAAAAGTTGTCAGAGTGCCAAAACCTACAAAAGAAACGAAGATAAAACATCAAAGAACTTCATGGTGAGATCACATTTGTACAAAGAGCATTGCGAAATTACGAGCCCACCTGCTAGTATAAACAATAAATTAAAATTTGCAGGTTCATGAAATACTATTTCTTCCCTTTAAAGACCGCGTTGCTTCTCAACTATGGTTAAATCATAAACAATCTGAATCTCTTCAAATTTAAGTTTTGGCGACAACATAAAGGTGTCGTTTCATGAATCAACGGTAAACATTCATTCAAACGCGACAACTCTGCTAGAGAATGAAAGCCACCGAGGAAAAAAAACGTTAAATAGCCCGCTTAAAGGACCACGCAAACTTTATCCTCAGAATTTCAAATCCCTATTATTGCGTATTTCTTTAGTACATTTGTATCATGTTCAAACAAGGCCAGTGTCAGTATCTAAGAAATTGCGCTCCTACCCCTCCACTAACCCAACATTAACCCTAACTTTTTATCAGTTGACTGTTGTTGGCTTAGGGGAGGGTTAGGTGGCAATTGCTCAGATACTGATGTCGATCATTCAAACAAAGAAAGGGACAAACAGAAGATTAGCATTTAAGATACTGTGTGACATCAAATTCATTTTCTTATACCAAGCAATGTGTACGCTATCTGATATCCAGAATATCGGAGACTCTTTCCCTAGCAGGGATAAAAAGAAAAAAAAGGCAACAACAAAATCTTCACTCTCAAATTTTATAACAGAAGTCTTAAGGTCCAACCAAGGAGTCACACATATTTCCGGGTCTAGAGTTCTTGAAAATCTTCCGTTCCCTATCATCATCATCATTATATTTCTGTCATTTTCTTGTGTTATCCTTATCATCTTTATGGTTATCATTTTCCCCAACACAACTATTGTCGTCATCATCATCATCATTATTATCATTGTCATTATTATTAGTAGTAGTATCTTAAATATTAGTGCTATTATCATCTTTATTGTCATACAGCAATGATTCGATTTAGTGCCCGGGCGCTCACCTACGTTTGATACTTCAAGGAAGGGTGCTTAATCGAAACAGGGCGGTTGTTAGGGACAGGGCTCATTTTCTTCTTTTTTCTTTTTTTTTCTTCGAGAAACAGCAAAATGTAAGGAACAGGGTTTGATGTTTATTTGAAAAGCATCAAGAAGACTAGAAAATGGATTTGTTGTTCCAGGATCCATCCTGACTACAACGACTAGCCAAGCAGTTTAAGAAACTCAAAGCGGGAACGGGAACGAAACGAAACAAAACGTTAGATAAGCAGAACAACAGCTGTGCACGAGGGTAAAAAAAATTTTGTAAATTTCTTTGTGTAAATCTGCAAAACAACAACGTGAAATGACCCAACTTTGCGTTGTCTGTTGAGCGTGAACGGCGACGGCTATTTCTTTTAAAACTTCCATTTCTAATTTAACGCTGTGTTCCATATTCAGTTTCGAGATATTTTGAAAGCGAGGAAGAAAGTACATGACTTTAGAGTATTGCGAGATTCGTAGGTCAAATATAAGTTCATTTTTTAACCAACCGCTGTCGTCGTTTCTTAAACTTCCTATTATCCGTCACTTAACCACAGTACGTACCACTGAAGCTGCAGGTGTCAAGAGCAGGTCCTTTGAATATATTGCTTGCCCTTGATACAACTGAAGCACGTGTTCTCTGAAAAAAAAATTTAAACGTTGGACGTGAGCGCCTTGGATTCGAAATCGTTTACAACAACAACTCTATTTTGCAAGGGAGCATAATTGCCACGGAATACTTTATTTTTTAAACAGTATAAAAAAGATTTAAAAAAATAATAAAAAACAATAACGAAGAAAAAACGAAAAGGACCATCAAGCAGAAATGCGTGTAAGGATATTAAATTGAAAAAAAAAAAAAATATATATATATATAAAATTTCATCACCTTTCCCCTGACACTTAATTTGTAACGACCTACATGTGGAGGAAGCCGTAAAAGCGAAAAGTCTTCCTCAATAAAAAATTGAAAACACGATGACTGACTCCGGAAAAGCTTCAGCGTTTCCAAATTAAGGTGAAAACTCACCGATGGCATTTCATGAAGTGAAGCAACATCAAAAGAGAAATGACCGCAGACAAGACAAGTCCTGCTTCTATTCCGCCTGCAAAGAAAATTGAAAAAAAAGAAAAAAAAATCACCATAAATATTTACCATCCAACCAAGTCTATTTACTCATCTGTCGTTCGTAATAGTTATGCCCCCTTATTGTAGATATGTCCTCTGACGTAATGTGATACAGTGGCCAATCATATTTTGTGATCTATCGAGCAACACGCAGCTTGGGACTGGTTAAGAGACTCCGTTGTAGTTTTATCTTTAAGCAAAAGTACACATTCAAGGGGGTCGGGATGGGTCGGGATAAGCGGAAAATTTGACCAGTGTTTTCCAGCAACAACGGATGAACAACCTCCTGCTGATTTCAGGAAAACTTGTCATCCGCATGGTCATTGCGAACCAGATCATTGGCCTCTCACACACATTACTTCCCTTGAAATTCTAACGTTTCTTCGTTAACGCCGTCTGATCGCATCGTTGTTATAACCTATACGTGGAAGAACAACTTGCCGCGTAAATAACAAAGCGATTTTCGACCAAGGGATACGTTATTGCTCACGCTTAATTTGCAGTCTTGCTTTATTTACAGTCTTCATTGCTCGACTTGCGACTCCTGCGATGACAACATTTTACCCACAAGCTAAGACAAAAGCTCAATGTGGTTTCATATCATAGTTGATTTATTTTTCTTTAATCGTTGAAGATCATAGATTATGATTCGTCGACGCAAAATTATATCTTTTTTGACGCTTCACCCTGATCTGTCGGAGGTGAGATCGACTGAGAGGTCAAAGTTGTGATTATTTGTCTGCGTCACGAAGTCTTCCCTCAAACACAGAAGTTTGACCTTCAGTTATTTATTTGGAATACTGTGGGTTTTTGCTGTATCGCACTGAGCCCTCTATTAAAAAAAGTTGAATTAGTATATTGTGATTTTATTGCGGTTCCGCTGATTTCAGCTGTTACAGCTAGCCGCATATTTTATACTGTCACAGATCTAGAGCGCTTTGTTGTTATTCCGCAGAGCGCTTCAAGCTCAGTGATCTGAAAGACAATGATCTTTGACAACCAAATTCCTCACGTGAAACTTGTGAGCACGTACATCACATGAAAGCCAGTACGGTAGCCGTTCACGAATATACACTATCCCCTGGGCCATGCTCGTTTTCCCGATCCCATCACCTAAACACATCTTTTTTTAAAACAGTTTCTAAATCATTGAAGGATACATTGCACTTGTGGGTGGATTTGTCATAATTTACCCCGTTTATGACAAATTCACACAAGGATCAAATCGAAAATCGGGGTAAAGATCGTGATGTCGGCAAGTCAGTAGGATGTAGTCCACTTAAAGGATGAATTTCACAGAATTTACCCCGTTTTTCTAGAATCCACTGATCAAATGGAAAATCGGTGTAAAGGTGGCTACAGTAAGTCCATAGGATTTATTCCACTTTAAGGATCAATTTTAAAGAATTTACACCTTTTGAAATTGTCAAACTTCGAACGAGGAAATCTTTACGATCTTGTCACACTTTTGCATCGCTTCTCTCCCCTAGCTGGGAAGTGACTCGCAGAAAACACGATCACAACGCACTTTGATTGGAAAAAAATAAAACCACGCTCTGTTGGTTATTAGGTGTGAGGACATAGCTACAACGGAAGGCACAACTGCAACGCCACAGAAGATTTGGGTAGAAAACTCGAGGGAGATTTGGGTCGAGTAGCAATCAGCCGGGAGGTTTGAGCCAGGTCGTGTTCCCTACTACCAATCCCTTGTTCAGTTTTTTTCGACTCGACCCAAACGTTCTGTCATTCGCTCCGTCGATAGCATCGTGCTTGGAATTTTACTTCCACGCATGGTTTTCTAACTGAAAACCTGGAACAAGCTATTTTCTTGTTTACAGACACAAAAACTTACCAAAGAGGACGTCTACAAAATTAGCCGAGCTGGTGTCCCCATGAGTTTTGTATTTTTCAATATATACCCTTCTCATCACGTCCATTAGGGAAAGAACTGCCATGAAAACCTGAGTAGAGCGTAACACTTTAGAAGAAAGTACCGGCATGTAATTCCTCTATATACTAATGCTGTTGTTTTACCATTAAAATTCCCCTGCTGTGAACCTACAGCTAATTTGATGTTTGACTTCAGACGTAGATTTGCACTTTGTAGCATTCAAAAACTCTTCCACGATATTTATGAGATCCGTTCTTATCACACCCGATCTTCTGCCTCTAAGAAATTTTATAAACAAAGCTCTTGATTGTCAACTCGACCGCTGGCACTCTTTTCTCAGAATTGGAGCGAATGGCACTCGAGCTACCTGTGGGCTGGAAACTTTTAATCTGTCTCGACTGTAAGAAATAAAATGCATTTATGTATGTAGATATGTATGAGAAAAGAAATCCAACACAAAAACAGTAATGAGCGTGGTAAACTATGACCACGGTGACGATGACCATGGAGATAGTGTAATTCACTCCCTAAGCAAGTCGCACAGTCAGTCAGTCAGTCAATCATTCTGCCATCACAGTATTACCAAAAGCGAAAGCAAATATACAATAGTTAAATCGATACAAATTATCCAACTAACCTGAAGGATCATTAAAGCGCTAACCAAAGTTGTTGAAATGAATTGCGTCGAAAATTTGAAATCTAAAAATGAAATTCAGATGAAGTTAAAAAACAAATTTTAACAACAAACGATTGGGTGTCATTTAAATCATCTCCTTATTCAAATGGTTCCTGTTCTTGGCTCAGACATGGCGCGAACAAAACATCTTTACCTTTCCTTGGTTTGTAGAAACAATGAAGCAGCGTTGAAAACCAGTTTAATCCAACCATATTCCCCCTGTTTGAAGCAACACAAAAAGAAATTATACCACCGATCCCGAGTAATTAGAAAATCATTATCATCTGAATAAGCTTCTGCAAAAACGAAAGAAATGTGTCACTTTATTTATTCATAACTCATGTAGGCATCAATCACACGTTTATGTTATCGTTGGTGATCAATGGCAGCTCTTTTCTTTACGTACACGTTCTCGTTCACCGAACATGACAGCCGCCTTACACGTAGGCCAAAAGGAATCAAGACTGATTGGAACGCTTTCCAGACTAATCACAAAGAGTAATGAGTGAATTGAAAGATTCCAGTATAAATCTAAAAGCGTTTAGTCAAAAGTTCTGCAGTCTGATTGGCTTTGCTAATCCTTCACTAATTAACAATAAGAGTGCAAGATTTCTATTTGAGCAACAGACCGAACTTTCTATCGGTGTACCGGCATAGTAACCTACTTGAGTTGTTGGGAGAACACGACAAAAGTTTGTAAATCACTCGCCCCAGGCTCTTTATTAACAAATTTTTCCCGAGTTCTTTTAACATCCCAAGTGGGTTTTCACGCTGGTAAACCAATAAAAATTGGGGTCTATTGGTAGTATAACTTAGAACAAAGCAGATGGCTTAACCAGCACAATAAACGGTAGGGTTTTAACCACGCAGGGTGTAGTATCTAGGTGGTTTAAGGTCAAGTCGCCCGAAAGTCATCACGCCCGATGTCATGTCGCCCGAAACCAGAGTCAGGTTGCCCGAAATTCATAGTCATGTCACCCGAAATTTTATCGAGTGTTTAAACTTGAAGAAAAGTAACATTTTAGGTAAATCGCGAGGAAGAAACTCGTAGAATGCAGACTCGTGAAACTCAGGTTGTTTATTTCGCTGTTGTTTGATATCACGGATATAGTAATCCTAAAACAGAATACGAAAATAAAAAAAATAGTAATACCAGCTACAGTATGGTTCTAACTGTTGTTGTTTTGTCTGTGGAAGCATTCTGTTTCGAACGAAGGTTCACATCATCATGATTGGAACATTGGAAAACGCCACCGTCTTGAATACAGCACGTGCTCAAGAATCATCACCTGGTTACCAAGCAAGATTGTGATGTTGCGGTAAATTCAGACACGCATTAATACAAACATATTTATTGCTTGCATTTAAACCTAATTACACGCGAGGACGTGTGGGTTGACCAAGTGACACCCACCCCTTGAAAACAAATTCAAATGTCAACTTAAGGTAAGTTCGTCATAAAAAAAAAAAAAAAAAAAAAACTTATTACATATCTGATTTTTTTTATCGTGATAAAATAAACTATTCCTTTTAAACTATAATAATAATAGTTATAATATTAATAATTGTATCATTATTTTCCTAAACGCGAGCAAAAGTTTTCTGGCGATGACGAGTCGAACTTGGACGGTGCACGCAGAGGACTCTCGGTGGAGCAGCTGAATCAGTAGGTAGAAAGGCGGATACTCTGGAGAAAGATCTGCAAAACAAAAAAAAAACCGCATTTTTATCGCAAACTCATCTAAGGAAAAAAACGTTCAAGATAAAACTTGGGCTAGAAAGGTTAAGTTCTTGGTTAAGAATAAAATTATTTCATGGACAAACAGTGGTCTTAAAATTTCCGTACCTTGGGCGAAGTCGGTTCTTGTGCTCTCAGCAGCGGGGACCTGGTCTCTTGGGTTCGATGCCGCAAGAGAACATGCAACGCACAACCAATCTATTCTTCCTCTGATTGTTGCCAAACGGTAGGTGGCTTGGTCGATACCAGTCCCGCAGATACGATGCTGCCAAAAGCCGCAATGTCGCACTGAAGGGCTTGCTGGCGTGGTCGAACTTCATTTCCGCACTCGATACAACGATGAAGGCTCACTATATAATTTTTTTGCGTACGGGTAACGATCTCGTGTTTCAGCCAGCTGATTATCTCGGAATAAGGTGGCTGTTATTAATTTAACCTCTTTATATATAGTTAGCCGGAACAAAATTTACATGCGACCGGCCGAGGAAACAAGGAACAACTGAACAAGTCGCGATAATTTATGCCGCGTCTGATCCTAAGGGAAATGATGCTAACAAGCGTTGTTCGTGTGGTTAGCAATAAACAAAAAAACCGCTGTAAAAGTTCCAGGTTGTTTTTTATACGATAAATAAAACTAAGAGAAATGATGTATTTTTCTGATATGTGTGGAAAATTCTGATAACTGAAAGTTCCGCTTATAATTACTAGAATTTGTACCGTAGAATGAGCAGTTTAGTTCGTAGCAACGAACAACGCTGAAATGAACAGCGATATTTGAGTCTTTGTTTTACTTCATATTCCCATAGGTTAGCGGACGAAAACATTTTACGAGTTTATTCCTTACCATTGTTACTCTTCTTCAAGATTAAACACTGGATAAAATTTAGGGCGACATGACTATGAATTTCGGGCAACATGACTCTGGTTCCGGGCGACATGACTTTAGGCGATTGTTACTTTTCTTCAATCTGCACTGTTGAATGAGCAGTTTAGTTCATATCAACGATTAACGCTGAAAAGAACAGCGATATTTGAGCCTTTATTTAACTTCATATTTGCACAGGTTAGCGGACGAAAACATTTTACGAGTCAGCATTTGACGAGTTTATTCCTTGCCATTGTTACTTTTCTTGAAGATTAAACACTCGATAAAATTTCGGGCGACATGACTATGAATTTCAGGCAACATGACTCTGGTTCCGGGTGACATGACTCCGGGCGAGATGACTTTTGGGCGACTTGACCGGTCACCATCTTAGTTATTACACAACGCGTAGCAGTTATGAGTGCGATGTCTGAATCTATCAACGCAGAGAAAATCACAGGCGAAAAATCTTATTGGTTTAGAATAAACCAACAACTAGTTGAAAACTTAGCAACAAGACAGGCTGGTGTTTTTGTCCTCTTTGTTTACGACCGTATGGTATCAGGCTAATCCCTTAAAAAAACTAACTCTCTATCACAACGATGATAGATGCATTCTGTACCCGGTCACTTCTCCGACATGTCAGCTCGCCAACACTATTAGTCAACTCGTCAACAGCGACATATTTGGTCAACTCTCATTTCATAGCTTCAATTTTAAAAAGCTCAATCCGAGATTGATATTCAATACTAATTAGTGATATACAGTGCGTAACGTGAATAGCCTATGTACAGATTATAAAATAAAGGGCCATGTCTTGCGGTTAAGTTTTTAATGCCCGGTTGATTTCTGCTGAGAGAATACTGTTATTTTCCTGAGAAGTCTGTGCTTGATTTTCGATTCAGGCTTTTCCCTCATAAGCTGTCAGGCGATAGAGATCTCATGCGAATAATCTTACGGTGGGAAAAACCCATTTTACAACAATTTATCTGAATAAAATTCATATGTAGGATATTGTCAGAGTTTGGTATCCAACCCTGATAGATTATCAATTTTAACCGCTTACGAAATTGATCCTGGATACAGGAGTTCCCTCATGTGAGCGATCTCCGTTTCTCTGGCCAAACGTGTATCGCGGATTTCCTCGCCACCCTGGAAAAGAAAAGAAGAAAAGTTAATGTTATTTTGTCAGCAGTAAAAGCTTCCAAACAAACACTAACAACAGTTACCCCTATCTGGGGATGGTTCCAGACAATTTATGAAGTACAGCGAGGGAGCAAGCGGTAACTCCTCCCCAGTCTCCATCCTTGGACAGCTTTTTATAGCCAGCGTACAAAACTGTGAGACGATTACCACGAAAATCGCGACTCATCGACGAAATATCGTGCCATACAAACGCTTGTTTTTTAATTGTCGAAAGTAACCATTATCGCTTCGTTTATGCTTTACTTCGCTCTGTGATTGGTCCAGAAAAACTCGCACCCCTCTCTTAACCAATCAGATTCAAAGCTAAAAACCAATCAGGACTTTGTCACCCGCGTTTTCCCGCGTTTCAGGAAATTTGGTTGTTTTTTACTTGGACTTGTCATATGGCTCTGAGAGGTAGAAGCTGTTGTTGAGACAATTACGAAATAGTATTGAACCATTCAAAAAAGTTTTGCCTTGGGCGATATATCGATCCAACTCAACGATATACATTATCGTTAGGTACCTTGCTTCCTTTTGCAGACATCTAGGAGCGTTGCAATTTTATTTCGCCTATTTTGCGAAAGAGCGGTTGTTTCTTATGTTATCCTTTAAGGCGGAAATTGGCACACGGCTAGCCAGAATTGATCACCTCGCGCATGCCCGATGTTAAACTGCTGTGTGCCGTGTTCCTCACAAGTGACTTACCCTTCTCTCAGATGGGAACCACTTCTTTCTCACTTCACGATACAGCAGGATACCGAACCTCATCCAAATGAATGCAAGGCAAAGGGTGATTGGAACTGACCCCAAATATGTCAGGTAAAATAATTCCTTCTGGTACTCTCCCTTAGTGAAAAAAAAGTAATTAAAAAATGAATAAATAAATAAATAAAATAGAATAAAAGAATAAAAAATATATATGAATAAATAGCTAAATGGGAAGTGGTCATTATTCATCAACTGGAAGGGACGTGGGGGGTGGGTTGGGAGGATTTTGGTTCTTTTATATAATAAATTGAATTGATCACCCCCATGAGACTCTTTAATATCCTTATGACCCCCCCTCCCCCCATCCCATCACACCCCCCCACACACACACATATACACTCATTGGCTGCCATTGGCAATCAATTTTCTACAGTCCCTTGTTTATACTTTATGCAAACTCCCCCTCCACCCCCTTTATACTCTAGAAGAAATACTACTTGTGGTGAAACCACTTGACCACCACTTGTGGATTCACTTTAGTTTTGAATATTGTTGGCATCATTTCTATGACCAATAAGACTGCAGACCAAGGAGAATTGTGTTTGATTTGTTAAATATCACTTTGAGAAATATCAAAACAAAAACAAAAAAGCCAAGTATTAAAAACTTACAATTTCACTTGATTCCTTCATATCCTTACCTTCAAGTACTTCATACACTGAAACTCTATTCCCAGTTTGAACAAGAATCTAAGAAATTAATTAGAATACGCTGGTTTGCTTTCCTTGTCAGTTAGTTTGTTATTTTCTTTAGTTTCAACCAACGTCAGTCGTATTAAAGATCGTGTTTGTAAAGGCATGGAGTTGTTAATTCATGCTACAGATTCTGCATAAGTGCAGTTATGCTCATCACTTGTCTGCTTGATATTGTATTGATATTGTGAGGAGAAATTCTGTCTTGGTCACTCACAGGAGTTAAAGGGTTAACATCAATATCCATATTCTCTAGACTCTTCACTATAAATTTCCTTTGGTACTGATAAGAAAAATTCATGTTGTAATCAGAGCGTCTTGAGTTGGGAATCTCTTTTTTATTCTCATGTTCTTTATGAATGAGTCAGCAATATTACTGGAAGGAGAACTTACATGCTGACTACCCTTTGGGCTGATAGGGTTAATTAAGCAGAGAGAACCAAATTAGTCTATTGTTTCACTTGTAAGCCATGCTGTACTGTGTTACCTATTTACCAGTACATGCTCCAAAATTAACTCAAACATCACTTATTTAAAAGACAAGAGTAACATTCCACATTAGAGTAATATTTGAATTAAGTATTGACAACTGTAGAGTTCTGAGAACTGTATTTGCTTATTAAAAATCAAACTCACAGTCTGATTAAATTGGTATTCATAAACAAAGTAATAGGTAGCTCACCTGATTGTAACATAAAGAAAACCCAGCAAGGACCCAACCAGTCTGTTTTCAGCTGTCAGACAGGCAAAAAATGGGTAGAACAGGATCCCGTACACAAGAACAGTGACAATATTCTGAAAAACTAATTAAAACAGAGGAAATTTTTTTCTGCTTGCTCATGTTGAGTGCTGGACTGCTGTTCAGGTAAAGGGGTAAGTTTCTAAAGAAACTGTGGTGCTCCTCTCTGGGAGAGTATAACAGGGTAATTTAGTATTAATGACTGAGTTGATAATGTAAATTGGCCACTGTATAGAGTTTAAAAGCTGACATTTCAAGTGCAATAGCCTTTCATCAGAGCAACTGGAGGAATTGTGATTTATGTGTGTATATATTTATATGCAGAAAATGGAGCTATGCTATTGGTGGGAATATGGTGACAAGAAAACAAGAATAATTTAGTTAATTGAAAAGCATTCGTTGATACTCAGTGGGGCTTTAGAGTGCTTATTTGAAAGATAATTTTTGTTCTGGAGTTTTGCGGCCCTCCGAACTGCCTAGATGTTGGGAAAGGCTGCAAAGTGCCATATGCTGCCCAGAATGATTAGAGAGATTAAAGTATCTAGAAAGTGGTTTGGATGCATCCTTGTCATTTCTTTTTACATCATGAAGGTGTCATGACTGTGTTGGTAGTTGAGGGTTCAAGTCCCAGACCACAACAACACTCAGGGTCTTAAAATAATTGAGGAGGATGTGCTGCCTTTGATACAACATCTGCAAATGGTTAGATGCTCTGGTCTTCTTGGTTAAGGATGATAAACCATAGGCCCCATACTGTCCTTCACCTTCTCTGTGCTGGTTATAAGCAGGGGACATTAACCCTTTAACTCCCAGAAATGATTAGAAGGTAACTTCTCCCTATAATACCCTTAGATTATCCAGCAAACAGGCAATGAGAATACTCAAACTAATCTGGTAGTTATGTTTTCTTGATCTAACAGAAAAGTTCTCATAACTGATGAATATGTAAATGTGCAGCATCTAGAGGGGAGAATTAATTAATAATCAGATCTTAAGAGTGAATTAGTAAAACAACTCACAGACTTCAACAAAGAGTAACGAATGTGGCTCCCAGTGTGGTCATTGTTATCATTTATAGAGGCCCACTTTTAAACCTGCTTTTAAAAGCCAAACTGAGCCAGCCTGTCTAAATATTCCAAATAAATAACTTAATATCAAGTTCACACAAAATCACAAATGGAGGCTACTGGAGGCCCAGGAGCTGCAACTACAGTCACACTTCAAGGAGCTAGAACACCCAACTGCAGGCCTACCCAAGTGCCAAAAGAAACCCAGCAGTTAGGTTTGAGGGGAGGAAACACCAAGAAACACCATCCTCAAGGACAAGAATCCCATGCTATAAAACAGCAAACACAACATGGGCACATGGTGGAACAATGCATGCACTGATAAGGTATACTGCTGGATGAGGATGGCCCCAAGGTCCTAACATCCACAGCAGTACTGTTGCAAACCCTGCGGAACACAACAAACACTGGCTGAGACACAAACCAAATGCCTCAAAATGCTACTGACCATACATGTATTTGCTCCTAGTCGTTTAAACTGTATGTTGAATTCCATATAACCAATAATATATAGATTTAGCCAAGCCTAAAAGCAGAGCTCACATTTTTTTTTTCCTGCGTGTCTCAAGGACACAACGCCTTGCCCCGGCCAGGACTAGAACCTGGGTTGTCTGACTTGGAGCCCAGTGCTCTGACCACTGGACTACTAAACAAAGCTGTGGCATTGGCATGCCTGCAGTACAGTTGACCACGCATGTTAAAATTAGCACCTTGTATGGTCATATGGTTATACATCCAAATTTTTTTGGCTTGATGGGTTACTACTACTATTTTGTATAGTTATGAGGCTACGTTGTGTAAGCTTAATTATTAAAATTTGTTCATAAACTAATACTGGCCCATGGCAACTGCGTTAACCTATACTTACTATAGTCTTTAAAATGATTTTAACAGTGAGAGAAAAAAAAGCAAAACAAAACAAACAAACACTCAATTTATTCAAAATCAGGTTGCTATGGTATGACCACTCACCCTGCACCCATCCAGCTGGGTCAGGCATCTGAAAAATTCCATTTCTTGGTTGTAAAAACATATTCAGGCATGTGCTGGAAGTGGCTCCAAACATAACAGCAATGGTGAATCTGTTGCCAAAACCACTTAAAAAATCAAATGGTCTGAAAGGAAACCACATGAACATTAGTTAAACAGTGGCACCAATTAATAGCTCACTTAAAAGTACACTCCTATTAAACCCATTCAATAACAGAATGCCTCATATTATTGCACTGTGTTTATATTCTGACTAAAATGGCACAATTTTCTGATAGATCAGGGGTGAGAGAGTTTTTGGGTCAATTTTTGCTGTGTATGTACTGCTGCGGCCTCTCAGAAAACCTGCCCCATCATAGTCTACCCTGTGGCCAATTATACACCCCATCTGCCAAGTGAGTCGTCTTTTAAGTAGGTCATGATCCTAAAATGAAGCAACACATTTGTCTACGTGAATTTAGAACACTTTACTTCTCATCTTCAGTGCATTAACATTCTGGTACATTTCAATCTAATTTGAAACTTCCTGTTTGTAAATCCTTACTTTGTTGTATGAAAATTTTCCGAATCATGAAAATGTCCCCACTCTTGTAACTCTACTGAAAATGTAACTCCATTATAGCTAAGTGAGTCAAGAAAATGCCACCCAGACCAGCAGCACATCCCCATGCCTTGTATTACAAGTAGCAACTTTTTTTAAAAAAAGTACATGTAGCTGGGTGTCACTTAGACTTGGGTACAACTACTTAAAAGTACGCAATGATCAGACTATATGTTGCTGACCTTCAGTATAAGCCTTGAACTTTTTGCTCTATTAATCAATTCTGTACTCACATCAGCAAACCAGGATAACCATTGCAGTTCTGAAGTCCACATTTGACCCTTTGCTTGACAAAGGCCAGTATAAAAATAATGACAAGCTTAAAAATAATAATAATACATGTAATAATTATTATCAATCATGCAAGCATGAAATTACAGGTGAAGTGTTAGCAAAACAGTATCACCTTTCAACCTTTCTGACTTAAAACAGGGGAGAGATGGGCCCCTATTCTAGAGGGGGTGCTTATTGGAAGGAGGGCACTAAATCAAATCATTGCAACATGTAAACAAATTTGTCATCATTATTTGATGAAAGTTACTTCAGTATTTCACTTACAGCTGGAGGAAGACAGCCAAGATCAAACAGACTCTCCTTGATAACTATGGGGCACCTAAATTGATAATTTTTGAGATTGAAGATCCATCAACATGTCTCAAAAAACAGAATTACAAAGACATCTTTGGATTAAAATAAATGTGTTATATTATTAGTATTCAAGAAGAAAAAAAGGTGTTACAGAACATTAAAAATTCATGCTGGAATGGAAAATTAAAAAGGTAATACATGATAATGCAGACAAAGGCAGGATCAAGCTGTCTGGCACAGACACCCCAGCTTTCAGCCTGCATTCCCCTCATTTTCAGTCCCAAACTCAAGTGTGAAATGAGAAAGACAACAGCACTTTATTTCCAGAAAAATTAAAAAGAAAATTAAAAAGAAAAAATTAAAAGAATTCCTCATACCATCTCAGAGGAAATAACTAAACAAGGCCTACTGTAATTTAAGACACGGAACAGAACAAAAGAGAAGATCTGTACTTTTGGAAAGAGAGATTTTCAATTTGCAAAGCAAGAATCCGTGTGCAACTCCACTGTATGAAAGTATGAGAGGGTCTATTAGAAACCTCAAAGCCTTCGAAAAAAATCATCCACAACCGCAAAACCGCAAAAAAAATTCGACCAGAACTGAAAACTGCATGCTAAACAGTCAAAACCGATAAACGTTCACATCCCAGATCGCAAAACCCTAATCGATCCGATACGGTGTTGACAAGTGGAGCATACAGAGGTTTCGCGGCTATTCGAGATCAGTGGGGGCGCATAATGACCGCTTGGATCGGAGAGAAAACGGAATCCAAATAGGACAATCCGAAAACTTCATCGGAAACTAAATCCGTAGCCCATTAGACAGGTATTTTTGACGAAAACCGGAAAATTTGCAAACCGCAGTGAACACCCAATCCGAAAAACCGAAATTCTTTAGCACATCCCAATGCCCCCCTTAAGGATGAATCGGTCAGTTCAGTCCACAAATCATACAAATAATAACCGAACAAACGTTACTATTACTGAAACCTCAACGAAAACTTTGTTTTTTTAATTTTTCAATCAGAAACATGCTGCAAACCAACTTTAGTCACGCGATATTATTCAGGGAAGGTGTCATGTCACGCAATCGAATTATTTATCGACTACGAACATCGATACTGGACAACTAGTAAATTGCACAGCTCGAGCCTCACGGAATTTTGATCTGAATTATAGATTTGCATTTTATGGCCAAATTGCGCAGTCCTTCCTATAAATACAGTAGAAGATTGATCTCGTCGCGAACGTAGTGAAGATTCAGCAAAGAACACCACGGAGATTTTCATATTTTCAATTCGTTTCGTTTCGTTTGGCAGTTTACAGTAAGCCCTAAAAAATTCCGGAAATATGGTCGATTCTAGTTTTACAATGGAGACTAAATGCATTGCATGGCATCAGATCTTTGAAAAACAGGCGCAAAGAACAGTGTTACAAACGTTAATTCTTTGACTCAGTTGTATCCAATTCTGCGAATAAACTCCATCATCTGCTACCACTCAAGCAGATACAATTTAGAAACGAGTGTAATTTTAACTTTGGGAAAATACGCACCAATCGTAACACGACCACGTTTGTTCCATTCAAGTCCAATCGGTAAAACTTTTATGAGTAGTTTTTTTTTTTTTCTTTCTATAGAGTCATTTTATATTAAATGAAATTGTTTTTGAATGACAGCGTATAGAACTTCAAATAACCTTTTGCAAGTTTCTGCGAATTTTGAGCATTTTTCGATAAATAAACAATATACCTCGAGGAGACGATAGCTAAACGAAACAACCAAATCACTGAAGGAGCGTGCGCGAATCTGGGGCGCATTCATTCATGGAAATATCGACATCCACAACAGAGTACGTACCCCTGAGAAGTGTTCTCCGCGGATCTATTTGCCATTTTCAAAGCAACTTGTTGGGCAACTGCACGTGGCTCAACCTCCCTCGCTTTACAGCTCCTTTCATTTGGTTCCGTGAATTAGAATTAAATTATGTTTATCTTATGACCTATTGTTTTTCTCGGAAAATTAGCGGAAGAGAAATAGCAGGAGTCTGGAGGCTAGCTAGGTTAGTGACCGCTGACTAAAGTACAGGAGATTTTCAAAGATGGCGCGAAATGTAGGAGAGTAATCTGAACATGTCACTATACTAAAATGGTTTGTGAGTCCTTTTAGTTCTCAGCGGCAGTCTTTTAACCGGTGTTTCAATTATAATTACATATTTTTTTACAGGATACTCGATCGTTCTTTGGCCTTGCTGGAAAGGCAGCGAAACAAGGCACTTCGAAAGTAGAAAATAAGCGCGGCAAAGATTCTACTGTGAAGTCATTAACGAAACATGATGTAGGAAAGAGCCGAACGAAAAGCAAGGTAAGTAATGGATTATGTAGCATTTGAAAGAGAAAGTTATTTGTGTTATCAGGGAATTCGACTTCAGAGGTGACGGAGAAAAGATCTGCCCATATCACAGCCCCTGTCTGACTGAATCGATCATCATGTACGTGTGTCTATATATTTGTGGGCAATTCACATTCCCATCTATCTTCTCCTGGGGATGGGGGGACACCTTATTTCGCCAAAATTGGTATTTATTGCCATACATGGTAAAATTTCCTTTGTCGTGAATCTTTAATTTTGCACATGGTAGATAATTTTACAACATGTTTTAACCAAGAGTTTTATTCCACTACATTTATATAACCCAAGGTATCTTTCTGGACCAGAGTGTGAGAATTGGTGTGGTACTGTATATTAACTAACTTTGTAGGTATAATTTTCAATAGTTTGTTGGAGTATGTCAGGGTAGCTGAGTGAGGCTGATAAGTTACAATGTTTTGCCTTTTTTTTTCCCTAAACATGGTTGTAAATGAAGCAATTTTGTATTCATACCTTCTAAGATCTGTTTGCTAATTCTCCCTTCTAGTTGCTTCACATTTCTTTGTACATTTGTTATAGGAATTTGTTCTTAGATCAAGATAACAATTTTTTTCACAACCCTTTTGTTGGACATTGTATGTATAGTCTTGGGAGAAGTTACATGTTAATCACATCTGGGAGTTTAAGGGTTAAACAGCTAAACCGCATTATGTGATACACTGCCGCCTAAATTTCACTCAAGTTTGAAATATCTTGGACATTAGCATTCCCTGCAAATTTGTTCAAACTGCAGTTTATTTTTAGTCTGCACAGCAGTTGCAGTATGTAATACTAATGCTTATTTCACAATTTTGACAAGTACTGGTTAATTTTCATTTATTCAGACTGCGGAAGGGAAAATGAAACTGTTGATTAACTTGAAAGATGACTGATAAAGAAGTATTGAGACTTCACCTAACCCAAACCATGTTTTCCACAATGCTGGTGTCTTCTCTTGATTTTCTGAGCTGGAAGAAAAATGTTTTGTAAGAAAGTTGTGCTCTGAGGAACAACACCCCCCTTGATCTTATCCAGGTGTTATTGTTAGGTCCAAAGAAGTGAATTTATCTCAAATTTGTGTGAATAAAAATAAGTAATTGTTGATTTTCTGGGCAGAGTTTATCAAGCAGTGAAGATGATGACATTGCCTGAATACAAAAACCAAAAGAAAATCAGAAGAGGAAGAAGAAAGGAAAAAACACCATTGACTCAGGTAATGTTTTAGGATGAACACGAACAGTTTCAAAAGGAACAGATGTTGAGACTCAACACAAACTATTACACCTCTGTTTTTGTTTTAATGGTGTACTGTGCTGTACAGTGTCCTTGTCAATTCCGAATGTAATTTGCATTATTACAGAAACAGCCTCCCGGTTAGCTCAATTGGTTAGAGCGCCGGACTGTTGAGGTCAAGGGTTTGAGCCCCAGCTGGACCAACACTCAAGGTCTTAAAATAACTGAGGAGAATGTGCTACCTTTCT